CCCCCCCCCCCCCCCCCGGTCTTTTCTAAAACTAGAATGTTACAAAAGACATCACATCGTTAATGATAATAGAGACTGTGATAAAATGGTTTGTAACCATTTGCACAATACGTATGCCTGATTATAGTCTCTCCTAAACGTAGTTCTAATTTCTTTCCTGTTTACTTTTGTTCACTGTAATCAATGTATCTGTATGTTAGAAATAAGCGTACCTGTTTGTTTAGGATATGGACTAAACACTACATAATTTGGTAATACACCGTAATTTTGCCTCTCTGAAAACACACCTGTGGTTTGGATCAGTTGTACAATAAAGCAATATTTAAATTTATGTAAAGCTAATGGTTCTAATACAGAAAAATGATTTTTGGTATGTTTTTATAGCATGTAAAAGATTAAACTGCTCATACCTGGAATTCCAGTCCACTGATTTACACTTCTATGAAGCTGCTTTTCTTTTGCCTTAGTCAGTTGCTGTATTCCTGTTAATTATTTACACACACTGTGTTTACCTTATTCATGTTGCATGAAAATGTCAGATGATAAAAATGCTTTAGTGAAATGGATTTATTTTTATAATATTTAATAACTGTCAATACCCATCTATATTAACAAAGTCATATTTAGCTTTTTAGAGAAGTCTGTACAGGTTTGTGGACATAAATGTTAAACTGTAAATCTGAATAAAGGTCGTTTTGAACAAGACATAAAATGCTTGGTATTACTTTTTTTTTTCACCATCTCTGCAAAGTTTTCTTCCAGGAGAACAAAGGACCTTTCTTAGTAAATCAGATTTTAATTCAGTTCTAATATGTGCAGCGTTGATCTTGTATAATGCAGACTTCCAATCGAAATATCATGCGGTAGCAAACTGAATACCTACAGCCATCTAGTGTCGCGCTTACTTTCACAAGCTAAAGCTGGTATTTTTAAAAGGTTTCAATAAAACTGAGATTTGCATAAATTATGCTTCAGTTCTTTGCATCGCTTATTAGGCTTTCCAGGATTCTGTCCATGATCCATGTTAGGTTAAGCAGTTTGTAGGAAAGTCATGTTTTGTCTTTGTTTTTGGTACAATATAGCAAAAATTAAATCTGTAGGGCTGGTTAGTATTTCAAGAGTAATGTGGAGAAGCACTAAAATGTTTCATTGCTGTAAGCTGCTCCTTTCCGGATCATAACTGACAGTGTTACTATTCCTGTCTACTAATGCTAGCGTTTCTTATTCCTCATAGGTTAAGAAAATTTCTTGTTGCCTGACTGCCCACAGATGTATTTTGGGAATGTTGGCAACACTGGCTGCGTTAATAATTATGAAGTGCAATCATTTTGTCTCCCCCACTCCCTACTTTATTATGTATTTTAATTGCTGCTTTCACCTCTCTTAACCAAGATCAATTTTTAATGAAAGAAACCTACTTTTTATCATTTCAAAATCGGTACCGCGTCACACAAAATACCTTTAAACTTACAGTTGTTATTCAGATTTTGTTTGACTTGATCAGTTTTGCTTAATGTTTTCAGCTTTGTGAAAGTGCAGCCTTTTGGAGTACCTCCTTATGGCAAAATGCTCTGAGGGAAGGGATAAGTATTTGGACCTGTTTGGTATGCCCACTAACCCTTCCCCCCCATATGCCTACTAACAGGAGCCATTCCTCCCTCTTCCTTAGACTTTAGCATCTCTGCCTTGAAGGGTGTTGGACTGCTTTGCCCCACTGAGACCTTTCTCATGCCCATATTGAGATTCTGCATTTCTGTTATAGAGGGGAAAATACCTGCTGGCCCATCACCTTTCTGTTCCCAGTACTGGCTGTAAGCAGGTAGCGCTAGGGCCATTGCTGACTGTGTGGCAGTACCTTCCTTGGTAAGTGTCCATTTGAGGTGAAGATTATGCAAGGATCTCATGGCTTTGTTCTGTTGTCAAGTTTTGTGTATAAAACATCCTTTTATCCTGTTTGTGCGCTAGCTGTCTGAATAGAAGCTGAAGCAGTGGGGAGACTAGTGGGACTGAAGTGTGTTGCGAGTTGTGTACAGGACATAGACACTGTGGGTATCTCTTATATTGTGATGGTGCTTCCAGCACCACTCAGAGCCCAACAGTATGCACATAAAGAAAGCTGGGTCCTTGCAACAAATAGCGTTGGTGGTTGTGTAGAGCAGTGTTTCTCAACCAGCAGTATCTGGAGATCATGTAGGTGGGACGTCAACGCATTACTCGGTGATTAATCTGATACTAAAAGGCATATAAACATAAAAATACACTTCCCTGGGGAAAAGTGGGGTTTTGTTCATATCATAGTGGGACCAGGGTTTTTTGACAAAATGGTTGGTGGGATGTAAAGTGCAAAAGGCTGAGACCCGCTGGTGTAGAGGAATTTGAGTCTAAAACCACACAGGGACTTTAAGTACAGGCAGTCCTCCACCTCTTAGGTCCAGATTTAACTTTTTGAAAGGCTCTTGGCCAGAGTCTTGGCTGCAGGCTTTCTAGAGTCTCGTCTGCTTTCTTAAAGAAAACGTCCAAGGAGGTTTGGACAGATGTTCTCTAAGGGAGATAGGTGATGCAGCAAATTTGTTCCCTGGAGTGGTGTTGCATCGGATCAAGCATTGTGAAGTCGAAACTGATGTCAGAAAGTTGAAGCAGGGAGTCCATTTATAAGCATTGTAAGTGTGAAACGTTGTAACTGAGGAAGGCCTGAGTATGGAAGTTACACAAGAGGGTGTTGGGTACTCAGATGTGAGGGCGAGGGTCAAACTCCAAGGAGTACATCCCAGTGGCAGCACTTCCCCAAGGCCCTACTTTGTGTGGCCATTAAAAAAAAAAAAAAAAAAAAAAAGCA